AGGCTGCAGGGGGAGGAGGGGCGGGTGGGGCAGTGTCTGGCCTAGCCGGTTCTCCAGCCTGTCCAGGCACTGAGAGGAGGCGGGACACTGCTGCCCCTGGGCTGCTGTGGTTTTCTTGGAAGACTTAGCTGACCAGCAGAAAGACCCGTATAGAACCAGTCCTGCAGGTATTGCAGTGGGACTGGAGTGGGGAGTGGGGGCAGGCGGGGTGGCTCTGGCTTTAGCCTCTACCATCCCATCTCATCCCATCCATCCATCCATCCATCCATCCATCCATCCATCCATCCATCCATTGATCCATCCTTCTTTCCTTCCTTTAAGGATGCCCGCTAGGCCCAGGGTACTGTGCTGGCTGCTGGAAGGACTTTTTGCCCTCTAGGAAGGAGCATCTGGTGGGGTGGGGGGAGAAGCAGACAAGTACACCACCCACTAATGCTCTAGGGGCTGACGGGGGAGGGGCAGGTCTGGGTGGCAGTAAGGGAGTGGCGGGAGCTGCAGTCTGTGGGGTGGGGCAGGGGTCGCACCACGTGGGGCCTTGTTTTGGAGGGGCATCATAATCAGGGGTGTGGGTCTGGCCTTGGAGCACCTGACCTGGAATGAGGGTGTCACCGCTAACCAGTGGTGTGGCCTTGGGGAGGTGAACTGAGACGTTGGTAGTGCCTGCCTGCTAGGGTAGGGAAGCACATGGCATGGCTCGATACGTTCATCCCTGTGCTGACGAGAAACCTGTAGGAGTTCTGAGGTCATGAGTGACATTTGTACTTGGCCTGACTATATTTCACACTGACTTTGGCCAGTGCCTCCCCCTCTCAATCAGTTTCCTCACCTGTTCAAAGAGAGACTAGACTAGATCAGAGGAAAAAGACTTAGCCACTCACATGCCTCCAGGGGCCAAGCAGTATTATAAATGAGGTGGATGTAGGGTGAGACTGCAGGGAGCAGTGGGGACTGCGGTCCACTGGGGTACCTCTGTGCCCCATTGCAGGGAGCACCTGCCTCTCAGCTCAGCATCGTCCAAGGTGCTGACTTCTCAAGAGAAAGAAACCCACATTTTTATGAGAAAACCCCATTATTGATACTAGCAATGTATTAGTTTTTAAAGTATCACATGAGCCAAAGCTGACACTTCTGTTGGTAGATGGTGTCACCACCACGACCACTGGGACAGGAGGCCAGTGAGCAGGGAGGCAGCCTGAACTCCAGGCCAGGCAATCTTCCAGTCCTGTGTCTGCAGCTGTGCCTCCCCTCCTGAGACTTGGGTTTTCCCTTGTATAAAGGAGGCGGGAGGCCAGACCCTCTCCTCTCTGACATTCTCAGGAGTGGCCCCGCCCACAGACAGGGGCTGTAATGGGGCCCCTGCTCAACACTATCTCGCTGGCGGTGCCAGGGAGTCTGGGGGAGCCAGCCAACGGGTCTGCTCTGTGTCTGGGAATGGCATGTCTGCCCGGGGGCCTGGGGAGGCAGCTCTCAGGGCTGCAGTCAGTGAGGGCCTGGTTCCTGGCTCCCAGGGGTCAAAGGGCAGCATTTTCAGCCTCTTCTGGGGCCAACTTCCTGTTTGGGAGAGAAAACAGAAAGACCCCTGGCAAGAAACGGTCTTCCTCCTGCAGCCCCTTTTCCAATGGCCCTGGCTTGTGGGGAAAGACCCATTGGGGGGATCCCCATGGCTGGGTGTCCCCAACTACATCTTTTCCCCTTGAGCCTAGGAAGGGACAGGGGCCTCCCTGCCATGACAGCAAACCTCATCTCACGAGCATCAAGCGTTAGTTTATCTATCACCCCCAGATGGGCTCCTGGGCCTGCCTCTTCCCTCCTCTCAGCCCCCAGGGCTCATGGCACCCCCTGGTTGTGGCCTCAGGGGTCTCTCAGACTGACCCAAAATAAGAAAGTCCTTGAGTGCTGCCCCCCTACCCCTAGCAGGGAACCTCAGCTTCTCCTTGAGCACCTTTGACCATGGGGAACTTACTATCAAATGCATGTTCGCACAAATCTGAAAGTGCCTAAAGGGTCTCATCACGGACAGGTGTCTTGAATGCTACCTCGACTTGCAAAGATTCAAAAATGTACACTACTGTGTTTTTAATAACAGTTTCCACCAGGTTTAATATAAGTCTGTTGGTTATAGAAGACTTAGAGATTAAGTATCAAAAATAAAATTAAAATTACCTGTAATTTCACTACCTACAGCAGGGCCAGGGGAAAGATAAAAGGGTTTCTTACTTACTGTGTTTACACCTACCTCTGGGTAAACTACCAGTCGCCTGAACTTCATCCCTTGTGGCAGAACCCAGCTGGCATACCTCTCCAGGGTATACCTTCAAGTATTTCAATAATAACTAACCTTTACTGAGCTCGAGATGAACTCATCTGATTCTCAGGATGGCTCTATGAGACATCTAATTTATACATGAAGGAACTGAGGCTCAGAGAGGGCAAGTAAATTCCCTAAAGTTGCACAGCCAGTAAGAGGCAGAGCTGAGATTTGAATCCATCCGGTGTCAGACTTAAGTCTCCCCTTCTCCAGATAACACATGCTCCACACTTTCTCCTTCCTCTCACAGGAGCTGGATTCCAGGCCATTCAGCAGCTCAGATGTTCATTCATTCTTTCTTTCTCACATTCATTTGTGTATTAAGTCACTTGGTATTTGTGAACTCAGGCTCAGTGTCAGGTGTAGGCTGATGCTGTCCCCCCACACCGCCTGCCCAGATCTGCCGCACTCTCAGGACTCGACCCCAAGAACTTCAGCTCATTTATTACAAAGACTGGGTTTATCACATTGTATTATGAACAGATCCCGCC